CAAATGTCCATTGAGATGTTGAAGGCCATTCAGGTGTTGAAGGCCATTCAGATATTGGTCCATTCAAATATCCATTGAGATGTTGAAGTCCATTGAGATGTTGAAGTCTGTTGAGTCCGCTAAAATGTTGAGGTAGAGAAACATTGCTTGAGGGCCCTGTCCTTCTGAAGTGGGTCCCCTTTCAGGCCAGAGACTTGTGGGGCAGGCAGAGAGAGAGAGCGAGAGAGAAAAGAAGGAAGCCTGGGTGTGGATGCCCGGGGACACTTGGGGTAGGGGCTTTGATTCCTGGGAGTCAGGAGAACCTCCAGCTTCTTCTCCGAGAAGGCCACCTTGGCTCTCCTCTCACCACTCGGTTTCCTCCTGAGTTGCTCATCCTAACTTTGTCTTCACTCCACCTTCCCTCTAGTGTGACCAATGGGGGCAAGACCACTTTGACCAATAGACTTATCCAAGCCCTCCCCAACTGTTGCGTTGTCCACCAGGATGACTTCTTCAAGGTAGGTTGAACTTTCTGCCTCGGGGTTGATCTTCTAGCGGGGTGGACTGAATGGAGAAAGCTAAGGCCAGCTGCCCCCCCCCCCCCCAGGGTGAGTCCCCCCCCCCAGGGTGAGTCTCCTCCTTCCACCTTAGGTGATTGGCAGAGGCGGGTTTTTGGGGGAGAGGTCGCGATTGGAGCCAAGCACAGAAAACAGACTTATTTAACTCTGGGTGGGTGGGCCCAAGGTGACAGCTCCCCCCTCCCCATTTGGGATCCATGGCTAATGAGATTAGAGACAAGAGGACCTTGGCCCAATCGGACTTGTCTTCTCACTAAGGAAACATAAATACCTCTCTAGTCTCTATTTGGCATACATCATTTTTTCAACCTTGGCTACTTTTAAGATATGTGGACTGCAACTCCCAGAATTCCCCAGCCGGCCATGTTGGGAATTGAAGCCCATACATACACCTGAAAGTGGCCAAAATGGAACAATACTAATATAAAAATAACTTCCCTTCTATCCACAGGCCATTAGAAATATGTCGGTGATTTTATTTGGAATACACACAAACACACACATAAAAATAAAGAAAATATATTGACTGGCAAATATATGGACTTAGCCTCTCCCCCTCTTAAGGATTTCCTGCACTGAAGGGCCATAATAACAATAAATAACAGAGTTGGAAAGGACCTTAGAGGTCAACTAGTCCAACCCACCTCCCCAAGCAGGAGATCCTATAACATTTTGGACCAATCTCTTCTATAAAAACCTCTAGGGTTTCAAAACCGAATGGTCTGCCTCCCCCCCTTTAAAAATCAAATCAAATCAATCCCCATGTGAATATATTGGCTCTTGGGAGAATTGAGTGTAGCATGCTCCTGTCCATCAATATATATGTTTGCAAATTATTAAAGCTGTGCATAGCTGAAAGATATGTATCCCAACCCTTATTTTGTGCGTTGGTGTGCATGTTTGGGGCAAAGGGTTGCAAATTCTAATTATTTTCCCTCTGAGTCCTTTTATTTCTCAATCATCCCTTTCCGGTGCTGTTAACATGCTTGAAATTTGTCCTCCCTTAATTTAATATTTTCCAGCCGTCCGGTCCAAGGAATCAATCGGGAGCTCACTTAACATAGCTCGGATAAGGGTAGATAAGGGCGCCTATTTTTGCCTCTCACAGCTCTCTCACTTCAAAAATAGGACCCCATGTGACGCTGCCCAAAGAAGGAAACGCAAGATGATCTTATCATGGCAGAATAGCAGTGTTGGAAGGGGCCTTGGAGGTCTTCTAGTCCAGCCCCTCTGCTCGGGCAGGAAACCCTATACCATTCCAGACAAATGGCTGTCCAGTCTCTTCTTAAAACCTTCCAGTGTTGTTTAGCTGGGCCAAATAACAGTTTGCCAAAGTTTATCCTGGCCAAATACAACAGGGATTAGATCCGCTGTTTCCCCACGTTGGCACCTTTAAGACCTGGGGCACTTCAACTCCCAGAATTCCCCAGCCAGCTACCGGGGGGTGGGGTGTTGAGGGCAATTGAAGAGTGAACACCTTTTCTTTCTTCCCCTCCCCCACTTCCCCCCCTCCACTTTCCCCTTCTCTGATTTTTTTCCTATTTCTTTGTTTGCTACGTTATAAAACTAAGGAAAAGATTACAGTCATAACTCCTGATCATTGTAAAGTGGATCACTTTTGTGACCCTTTGTTGGCAGTCATTGTTAAGCGAACCCCACAGCTGATTTTGTTCAAAACCTGAAAATGGAGGCCAATTTTATTTATTTATTTTTATTCGGGGGCAAAACCGTCGTAAAGTACACGGTCCCCTGATGTCGGGACACTGCAAAGGGTTTTCGACCATTCGGCCGAGCGTATGAAGGGCGGCCATCGGACTGTGGGGGCAGGAGGTGACATCCCAAATCCCCCCCCTCCCCACGTAGGTCCTTCATAACTTCAATGAGTCACTAAGCGGATCCGTCGTAAGTCGAGAACTTCCTATAATGATCGGATTCTGAACGATTGGAGCTATGGCCCCCGTTCCTTCCCACAATAAAACATTTAGGTTGCATCCAAAATTCATAATCACTTTGGTGACTGAATTTAAGGCCCAAGGATTTTTTTAAAAAAATTGCAAATTCTCGGACACTTAATCTCAGAGTAAAGCACCCTTTGCAAACCAGAGTTTAGCCTCTCAGTCCAAACGCCATGTTATGTTATTTGCATTTTACATTCTGATAAACTTAATACAATAACAAAAACACCAAATCTCTCTCTCTCTCTTTCTCTCATCTCTCTTTTTCTCCCTCCCCCTCCCTCTCATCTTTTTCTCTTAGTCCGTCCCTCTCTCTCTTTCTCTCTCCCCTTTCGTCTCTCTCTCTTTCTCCCTCTCTCCTCTTTCATCTCCCTCTTTCTCCCTCCTCTCGTCTCTTCTCTCTCTCTCTGTAGCCTTCGTTGAAACAAGCCATTCCCCCACCTGAATTTTGTTCTCTAACATCTTATATTTGAAGGTACTTGCTGGTGGGTGCTGCATTTCCAACGTATTTCCCCCCACCCACCCAAATTCCAGCATTTTCCTGTCACTAAAGTGGAACACATCATAGACGCTATGCGATCTGTACAGTGGTAGATGTAGACTACCACTACGTCTACCAATGTAGACTAATTAATTAATTAAGGCTAACAAAGGAGAATATTTGCAGCTCTGGGTTGAAAAAGTGGGGTCTTTGGGACTCTCTGAGCTGGGTGCTTTTTTCTTACAGACGTTTCAGGACCCAACTAGGTAACAACATCAGTGCTTTGGTAATGAAACGTCAAAGACTTAAGACTGTTCCAAGCTCAAGAGAAGAAGAAAAAGGAAGTCAGAAACTTCCAGCTATTAGTTCAACTCCTCATTTTCCTCCTCCTCCTCCTGCCCTCCTCCACCTGTCCTCCTCCTCCTCCTTCTCTTCCACCCGTCTCCTCTCCTCCTCCTCCTCTCCAAACCCCACTTCCTTCTGTCACTGATGGTGTTCCTTAGTTGGGTCACGAAAACGTCCGCAAGAAAACCACCAAGCTCAGAGACCCCACAAATTAAAACAGCCCTGTTCTATGGAAGCAACACCCCTTACTCCGCGTTAGTTGTTCTTTCCGGTTCCCAGGCCTCCATGCACATCATAACGTTAATTCCCCTCCGATCCTTTCGGATCGCCCTTGAGGCCCAAGATTACAACCCAACCGAAAACATCTTACTCACATGAACAACCAATGCAGACATCCCGGGCCGCCTTTAAAATGGGGGAAAATATTTTTAATATTAAAAGGATTAATATTTTTAAGGCTCTTGGGATGCGGGGTGGGTGGATCGGTGTGCACCACCGCAGTTTTGCTAAGACGGCACTTGCCTTTGGGTGTGTGTGTGTGTGTGTGTGTGTGTGTGTGCGTGTGCTTTACAAGTTGTGTCCAGGCTGTGATCGGATCTTAAGTAACAGATCAGCCTGTGTTTGCAGCATTGTTTTATTGATCAATATGTTTCAGCCACAAGATCAAATACAAGTCGGGGAAGACGGCTTTAAGCAATGGGATGGTAAGAACGGTGTTCGCTATAGGATGCAGTAATGTATATTTTCCTAAGTATATATATACATTTTTTTTATCCCTATTCTATCATTATTAAACAAAAAAACAAAAAAAACCCTTAACAGTAAAACTTAAATAACTTTACAATAAATTCACTTCTTTTAATTTATCTATTTTCACACCGAGTTTTATGGTGGGTTTTTTTTTTTTTCCTTTCCTTTTATTTTTTTTAAAAATTTCGTTTTTAAAACGGGCGTTTGCAATGATGTGTTGATATGAAGCTGTTTCTTCCGACTAGTTTTGGCTTCTCTGGATATGGAGGCGATGGTGAACACCGTGAACGCCTGGAGGGAAAACCCCGTCAAGTTTGCCCGATCGCATGGGGTGAGCGTCTCACGCCGATCAAAGATGCCCGACGCGGATGACATCCACGTATTGGTGGTGGAAGGATTTCTGCTTTATAACTACAGGTAGAGAGTTATTCCTCCCCTTTGCTCTGGCTCTTTTCAAACACTGCATATTTTATTTATCTTTTAATGAGTTCTCGGGCAATTGTTAACGTGATCCTGCACGATAGCCTTCATATAAGTTATTATTGCTCTCCAATGGCCCTGTTTTTGCAAAACGGTTACGGTTCAAGGAGAGTAGCTCAAATTTTCTCCTCCTTCCCCTTCCCATCCTTCTCTTTCTCTTCCTCTACCTTCTCCTCTTCCTTCTCTTTCTCCTTCTTCTCCTTCATCCTTCCAACCTCCTCCTCCTCCTCCTCCTCCTGTTCTTGTTGTTCTCCTTTCCTCCTCCTTTTTCTCCTCCTCCTCCTCCTCCTCCTTCACCCTTCCAACCTTCTTCTTATTCTCCTCCTCCTTCTCCCTTCCATCCTCCTCCTCTTCCTGTTCTTGTTCTTCTCTTCCTTTTCCCTGAGTGGATTTTAGTTTAGTCAGTGAGTCAAAGAAATAAATGGACCTTTTCTGAAGAATTTTCATTATGAAGTGATTCAACAAGTTAATTGAACAAACGAATGAACGAATGAATAAAATGAATGAAAGAAAGAACACGAATGAACGAATGAAGGAAGAAAGGAATGCATGCATGAATACATGAATACATGAATGCTGAAACTGTATAGGTAGTCCTTGACTTATGACCACAACTGAACCCAGGATTTATGTTGCTAAGTGAGAAACTTGTTAAGTGGGTTTTGACCCGTAACTCTGGCAAGCAACTGTGTTAAATTAGTCACACGGTTGTTATTGAGAGTTTGTGCAGCGTGAATTCAGTGCCAGAAAAATAAACACAGATGGCTGATGCTTCATTTAACATCTTTATAAACATAAGTAGATTTTACGAACCAGTTGTAGATTTCTCCAACAGGGAGCAAACTCAAACGGAAACATGTAGCAAGTTCAGAGCAGAGCTCCGGTCTTCAGCAAGCAAGCAAGCTAGTTTCATCTTCAATAGACGGACTCAGAGCTCAACATAGCTGCAGAGTTGCAGACCTTAATATAGATCCACATCTTGGCTGCTTCTAGTTTCAGATTCTAGTCTATGCTGGTTCTAGTTTCAGTTTCCAAACAGTCCTCATTGGCTGACTTAGCTGCTATGCCTATTCATTGGCTGACCTTGTTACCCAGCTCTATGCCAGTTCATGAATATACTGACAGTTGTTAAGTGAATCTGGCTTCCCCATTGACTTGACTTGTCAAAAGGTCACAAAAGTTGGTCAGGGACCCTGGGGCACTTTGGCTGTCATAAATAGGAATCAATTGTTGAGCATCCGAATGCAAATCATGTGACCTTGGTGGATGCTGCAACGGTTATAAGTGTGAAAATGAGTCACTTTCCCTCCCAGTATTATTGTGACTTCAAATGGCCACTAAGGAAACTGTTGTAAGTCAAGGACTACCTGCACAAAGTATCACAAAGGAAAATACCCATCTTTTTAAAGTCACTTAATAGTCAAAGGCTCACTTCCTTACCAACAATTTGTTCTTGTGTTTCCAATTCCGGGAAGCACTGTTGCATTATTTACCTTTAAAAATTTTGTATTTCTGGGCATGGCTTCCTTCCCAAGTCTCTGAAAAATGTGTACATTTTATTTTGTAACGAATCATTTGTGCAGGAGGCTGTTTCCCATGTAATTCAGAGGGAAAAAAAAAAGAGAGACCCTTTTAAATTGTACTATAGGAAGCCCCCGTTCCCTCTGGATTAAAATATTTTGTATTCTTAATATTAAGAGAGGCAGGATAGAATATTTCGTCAAAGGAGAAATAGAGAAAACATGTTCTTAAAGGCAGAAAGCAGCCCCAGTCTTCCTTAACAGCCTCCAGCGGATGCCTGAAGTCTTTAGAGAGGGAGATTTTGTATCCATTCATTAAGACTGGGCCAATCTATTTATAAACAAAACACCAGGACAGACGGACAGGACAGGGCCTTTAGGACATAATTGGACTTCCCCACCGCCATTGAAATAGCAAAAGACACAAGGCTCACTGCATTGCACAACCAACCTGGAGCATCTCAAAACCCTATAAAAATCCACCCATTCCTAAACCAAAGAGCTCAGCCACCCCAGAAAGATTGCCTCTGTTACTGAACTTTCTGGCAACCAAATAAACCAGCCAGTCTCCATTTTATTTCCATCATCTCTCTTCTGGGTTGGAACCAGGCCGGATTTTTCTTCCCACAGTACCTTAACACTGCAAATATAGAAACAATCATCCAGCTCATGTCAGGGACCGCAATTAATTTGAGCGACTATAATCTCTGCTGGGTGACCGTGCCAATTCATGTCCAGCTCTAATGCAATGCAAGAGACACTTTTATCTTGCAGCTTGTTGGTTATTTGGCTCTTCCCCAAAACCGACGGATCATAGCAATAGCTCAGGGTCCTAGCATCCATGCCCTTCAATTGAGCTGTGATTCCTTTACTGCATCTAAGCGGTTAAATCGTGGCAACCGGACCAAAATGTGTTAATCTGAGACTCACCCAAGCCACTTCTTCACTCAAAATAAAAAAAAAAAATAGAGTGGTGCTGGGAGTATACCAGTTCTTGCCATA